GGAAGATGACAGCCATCTGGAAGCCAAGGAGGGAGGTCCTTTGAAGAAACCAACCAACCTTATTAACACCTTGATCTTAAACCTATATCTTCCATAATTATAAGAAAATAAATTTCTGTTAAGCCATCCAGTCCACACTACTGTGTTATGACATCCTAAGTAAATCAATACAAAGTTATTATCACAGATGTATCATATTTTTAAAACAAACGGAAAATATAATACAAATATAAAATGTAGAGTATAAAGTGAAAAGAGCTGAACACAGTCCTCTGGAGAACACCAATATTTAAACATCTGAGTATGAGCAGCCTACAGCCTTTGAGATGCTAAGTATAGGATATACAGGTAAAAGCAAATTAAATCATACTTGTATACCAACATATACCTACTGAATATTCTAACATTAAAGACTAACAGGTAGAAGATGTAATGGGCATTGGCATGAAGGCAGTGAATAAACCAAGAATGTGGATGAAATTGTATAGAAAGAGAATAATGAGAAAAGATAGCTTAGGACTGCTTCTTGGGGAATTTCAGTAACTGGGATGCAGAGAATGAAAAGCCTACAAAGGAGATTAAGAAAAGAAGGGTAGGCTCAGCGCCTGTGGCTCAAGCGCCAGCTATATACACCTAAGATAGCAGGTTCGAATCCAGCCCGGCCCGCCAAGCAACGATGACGGCTACAACCAAAAAATAGCCAGGCATTGTGGCGGGCGCCTGTGGTCCCAGCTACTTGGGAGGCTGAGGCAGGAGACTCGCTTGAGCCCAGAAGTTGGAGGTTGCCATGAGCTGTGATGCCACAGCACTCTACCCCAGGGGGACAGCTTGAGGCTCTGTCTCAAAAAAAAAAAGAAAGAAAGAAAAGAAGTATATCAAACCAGCCTGAGCAAGAGTGAGACCAATATCTACTAAAAATAGAAAAACTAGCCAGGCATGATGGCAGATTCCTGTAGTCCAGGTACTTGGGAGCCTGAGACAAGAGGATTACTAAAGAAGGGAGATATAAGAAAAAGAGGGTGTAGTCCATATAGAAAAGTAAATATAGACTTGGCACCTGTAGCTCAGCAGCTAGGGCGTGAGCCACATACACTGGACCTGGCAGGTTTGAACCCAGCCCGGGCCTGCCAAACAACAATGACAACTACAACAAAAAAAAAGCCAGGTGCTGTGGTGGGTGCCTGTAGTCCCAGCTACTTGGGAGGCTAGGCGAGAGAATTGTTGAAGCCCAAGAGTTGGAGGTTGCTGTGAGCTGTGACACCACAGCACTCTACCAAGGGCACCACAGTTAGACACTGTCTCAAAAATAGTAATAGTAAATAAATAAATACAGGTTATCCTTCAGACATAGTTCAAGATTGATTCCAGATCACCATCCTAAAGGTAATATCATAACAAGGTGAGTAATATGAACATTTTGGATTACTAGTTCAAATAAGATATTTTTACACTGTATTAAGTCTAGTAAGTGTACAATAGCACTATACCTAAAAAAAATGAATATAGAAGTCCCCAGGTTACAAAGGAGATAGGTCCTATAGGTTTGTTCTTAAGTCGAACTTCTGGGTTAGCTGAAACAGGTACATTTACCTATTACCAGTAATAGCCTCCATTCATAAGTGCAACATCAGTCAGATGTTTGTAATGCTAATGCTAGGACTTACTATAATAGCCTCCATTCGTAAATGCAAGTTGTACATAAGTCAGATGTTTGTAACTCAGGGACTGCTTGTGCACTTTAATTAAAACATACTTTAGGCTCGGTGCCTGTAGCTCAGCGGCTAGGGTGCTAGTCACATACACCAAAGGTAGCAGGTTTGAGCCCAGGCTGGCCCTGCCAAACAATGACAACTACAACCAAAAAATAGCCAGGCATTGCAGCAGGCACCTGTAGTCCCAGCTCCTTGGGAGGCTGAGGCAAGAGAATTGCTTAAGCCCAAGAGTTTAAGGTTGCTACGAGCTGTAACACCACGGCACTCTACTGAGGGCAACACAGTGAGACTCTGTCAAAAAAAAAAAAATAATAATAATAAATTAAAACATACTTTATTACCAAAACAAACTAACTGAGATATCTAATCTGAGCCTACAGCAAGCTGTAATCTTTGCTGGTGGAATCTTTCTTCAGTGTTGATGGCTACTGACTAATCAGGATGGTGGATGCTTGAAGGCTGGGTAGCTATGTCAATTAAAAGATAAAGCTACTTTGCCACATCGATTGACTCTCCCTTGCACAAAAAATTTCTCTATAGCGTGCAATAATGTTTGATAGTATTTTACCCACAGAACTTCTTTCAAAATTGGAGTCAATTTTCTCAAACTCTGTTGCTGCTTTATCAACTACATTTATAGACCCTTGTTCTCATTTCAACCATGTTCACAGCATCTTCACCAGAAGTAGATTCCATTTCAAGAAACCACTTTGTGCATCCATAAGAAGCAATACCTTATCCCTTTGGGTTTTATGAGATTGCAATGATTTAGTCACATCTCAGGCTCCACTTCTAATTCTAGGTCTCTTGCTGTTTCCATGACATCTGCAGTTCCTTTCTCCACTCAAATTTGGAACCCCTCAAAGTCATCCATGAAGGTTCTACCAGTCCCCCACCCTCCCCAACAAATCATGATTGTTCTTAGAGGCAACTAGAATGATTAATCCTTTCTAGATTTGCTATATACTTTCACCAGATCCATCAGTGAAATCACTATGGCAACTACAACCTTATAAAATGTATTTCTTAACTAAAACTTGAAAGTCAAGATTATTCCTTGATTTATAGGCTACAGAATGAATGCTGTTATTAACCATGAAAACAAAATTAATCTTCTTGTATATCTCCATTAGGGCGCTTCAGTGACTACATTGTCAATGAGCAGTAATATTTTCAAAAGTGACCTTAAAATATTCAGTAAACTGTACTGTATATAGATGTGTGCTCATCCAGGCTTTGTTTTTCCAATTCAAGAGCTCAGGTAAAGTAGATTTAGTATAATTCCTAAGGGCCCTAGGACTGCTAGAATGGTAAATGAGCATTGGCTTCAATTTAAGGTTACCAGCAGCATTATTGGTTCCTAACAAAAAAGCCAGGCTATCTTTTGAGGCTAGGTATTGACTTATCTCTATGTATAAAGTCCTAGAAGACTGAAAATCTGTCGTTGAGTGTAGCCACCTTTATTAAATGATCTTAACTAGACCTTCTGGATAACTTGTTGCAGCTTAAACAGCAGCACTTGCTGCTTCATCTTTTGTTTTTGTTTTTGATCTTTCATTTTTACGTTACAGAGATGGCTTCTTTCCTGAAACCTCATGAACCAACTTCTGCTAGTTTTAAACTCTTCTTCTGCAGCTTCTTTTTCTATGTCAACCTTTATAGAATTGAAAAAGAGTTTTTTTTCTGAATTAAGCTTTGGCTTAAGGAAATGTTATGGCTGGACTAACTTTCTATCCAGACCACTAAAACTTTCTCCTTGTCAGCAAAAAGGGTGTTTCACTTTCTTATCAGTTATGCATACACTGAAGTAGCACTGGTAATTTTCTTCTAGAATTTTTCCTGTGCATTCAGTTGTTTAACTATTTGACACCAGAGTCCTATCTGATGGCCTATCTGGGCTCTCCACGTGCCTTCCTCATTAAGCTTAAGCAATTCTAGCTTATGAATTAAAGTAACAGATGTATGGCTCTTTCTTTGACTTGAATACTTAGAAGCCAATGCAGGGTTATTAACTGTACTAATTTCAGAGGTCTTGTGTCTTAAGGAATATGCAAGCCCAGGGAGAAGGAGAGAGAGGACTGACTGGTCAGTGGAGCAGTCAAAATACACACAACATTAATAGATTGAGTTTGCTGTTTTATATGAGCATCGTTTGTGACTCCTCAAAAATGATGACAAATCATCCTAAGGGATGTAATAATAATGTAAGCTTGAGTTATCTTGAGAATGATCAAAATGTGACACATACGGGCTCGGTGCCCGCAGCACAGTGGTTATACTACCAGCCACATGCACCGAGTCTGGTGGGTTCAAACCTAGTCTGGGCCAGCTAAACAACAATGACAATTGCAACAAGAAAATAACCAGACATTGTGGTAGGCACCTATAGTCCCAGCTTCTTGGGAGACTGAGGCAAGGAATCACTTAGGCCCAAGAGTTTGAGGTTGCTGTGAGCTGTGATACCACAGTACTCTACTGAGGGAGACATAATGAGACTCTGTGTCAAGGAAAAAAAATGTGACACATAGAAATGAAGTGAGCACATATTGTTGGAAAAACAGCTCCAACAGACTTATTTAATATAAGGTCGCCACAAACGTTCAATTTGTAAAATCACTGTATCCGTAAGGCACGATAAAGTAAGGTATGTCTGTATGGACACACATACTGTATAAGTTTATACAGAAACTTAAGCTTTTGTACTAAAAAAAATCTATTTGAGTATTACAACAACAAATTTTTTATGTCTTCTATTTCATAACTAAAGGAAAAAACACAGTTGGCTCCAGTTGGATAATACAGGAGGTAACATACAAAGTATATGGTACTTTTATAAGTATTTAATATAAAGTAACTTTTCTCGTCTACTAGGAGAGTTTCATTCACTAAGAAATGATTTATTGAAGCATGACACATATGCCAAAACTATATACATTACTCATCAATAAAAAATAAAGTCCAAAAAGGGAGAGGTTGCATTTATAAAAGAAAAGAAGCAATTCACCATTTCTACTGATCATAAGGATGTGTCCATAACTGTGGGAGTAACATAACTGTGACAAAGTCTCCATAATCAAGATTATTATAACATAGTGTAAAACAGATTATGTCTATCATAATAAAAGTACAAAATAAAACATAGAAAGAAAACAATGTAGTGGCTTCCTATTATCAAAAGAATTTAGGCAATTCAAGATCACATAGCTCTTGTAATTCTTCTTGTGATCATTAAATTAACCTGCCATCAATTTGTTTACAAAAATACAAATCTAAAAATAAGAAGCTTACTTTCAGGTGTTTCTTTTTGCCATTGTCTGAGTTCAGCGGTTAAACATTTTGCTTGCAGAATTAATAATGATAGCTATAAAAGAATGAGAGAATAAAACAAAGTCATTTCCTGTGGAATATTCATAGTGATTCATAGAGGAAAATAGAGGATATGTTTTTAATACTTTAATATTTATTCCTAACAAAAATAAAAAGTCACCTCTAACCCATAAAAATATTATCACTAGACACAGAATTCTGCTTTAAACTATGTTAATTATAATTTACAAGCTGCCTGTGATAGCAATAATATAGTATTAAAAAATATGATAAATTCTTCTTTTCCACTAAAGAATTTAAGTACATTAAGTAAACATACCTTAACATAAAAAAAGTTCTTACCAACATTTTTCAGACAAATTTCCTACAAATATGTTTTTTCTTCCCTATGCCCTTTCAGAAAAATTGTAACTGTTTTTAGCTAACCAAACATAAAAAATTTTTTTTTTTTTTTGAGACAGAGCCTAGATGCCATGGCACTCTACTCACTCTGGGTGAGTAGAGTGCCATGGCATCACAACTCACAGCAACCTCCAGCTCCTGGGCTCAAGTGATTCTTCTGCCTCCGCCTCCCAAGTAGCTAGGACTACAGGTGCCTGCCACAATGCCTGGCTATTTTTTGGCTGCAGCCGTCATTGTTGTTTGGCAGGCCCGGGCTGGATTCAAACCCGCCAGCTCAGGTATATGTGGCTGACGCCTTAGGCACTTGAGCCACAGGTGCCGAGCCAAATTTTAATATATATATATAAACATAATTATAAAATTAGATTGGCTCCACAAACCAGGTTTACTAAAGCAAGTTTATAAACTGTTACCCTTTGGCCAAAGATAAATTAGGGTGAGTTATTGTTGGTATCAGGAGACTATAGTCATTTTAATTTTGAAAATTACAATTCTATAGGAAAATCTATTAACTGATTAGATCATAAAATTAAGCTCTATTGGGCTTAAAGTTAAATTTCAGAGTGTTTCTTATCTTCCATTCATAATTCTTATTGGTACTCAGATCAAAGATTCACATTTCGAAAATGTAATGGGAATTACTGTATTATTTACACTATGAGGGCACCAAGTATAAAACCACGTTACATAATGCATATACAAATTATGTGTTAATCCACTGTTTATAACATCAGTAAGGTCAATAGTAGACTATTAGTAGTTAAGTTTTGGGGTGTCATCAGGCTTGGCATGATGGCTCACGCCTATAATCCCAGTGGTTTGGGAAGTTAAGGTGGGAGAACTGTTTGAGGCCAGGAGTTCAAGACAAGACTGGGCATCATAGTGAGATCTCATCTCTACAGAAAATTAGAAAGTAATCTGGAATGGTGGCACACACTTGTAATCCTACCTACAAGCTGAGGCTGAGATGGGAAGATAGATTGCTTTAGCCCAGGTGTTCAAAGTTATAGTGAGCTGCAATTGCACCACTGCACTCCACCCTGGGTGACAGAGTGAGACCCTGTCTCTAAAAAAGAAAAAAAAGAAGTTAAACTAGGATATTTAACTGCACAGGGGTTTAAACCCCTAACTGCCACATTGTTCAAGGGTCAACTATATTTTAATTCTAAATCTGTTCCACTGATCCATTGATCTATTACTAAACTAACTCCAAAATTCTCTGATTTCAATAGATATCTCAACCTTTTTGTAAGCCTATAGTAAAGTCAATTAAGATTCCATACAGATAGCAAAATATCTGTGGCTATTATACCCAGCACAAAGTAGGACAGCCTTTCTTTAAGTTTTTAACAAAGTATCATAATAGCAACCAATGAGGAATTCATTCAATTGTTAAATATATGTATGGCTGTTAAATGACAAATAATAAAGAAAACACTCTCTTATTTATACTAGCTTAATCCAGAAAGTTTTTAGAATACCTCTTCCAACTCAAAAAGTGGAAAGAATAGGAAGTTTTCCAAATGATTAAGTGTATAAGTATTATAAAAAATAACCTAGGATAAATATAGACAGATATACTGCTGTTCCAAAATACAATGAATTCTATTTATCTAAGGGAAAAAAAGATTCATACCTGAGCATTTGAATCAGTGAGTGTCTTGGTTCCAATAAGTGATAATTTATTCTGATACTTAATTTAAAAAGTAAAAAAAAGAAAAATAGTCATACATTACAACCCACAGACAATTCCCTTCCCCTCCACTTTTCTACTAGTAGTCTGATGAAATACTCCTGCAAACAATATACAAATATTGATATTTTTAAAAAATTTGTTTAAATTCCTCACTTTCTAAGCAAGAGAATTAGGAAGGCAGCAAAATGGGCCCCAAGTAGAATACATCAAAAAGAAAAGGCAATACTATAATGAAGGACAAAGAATTGAACTAATTGCTATTATTAATTAGAAACCGGATAATGGAAAAATGGGAAGTAAGAAGGGAAAGCAAAAGTAACAAAATGGGTAAGATAGTTAGGATTATAAGATAATAAAGCCTTCAGGAGACACTATTTCTTTGTCATTGAAAAACATCCAAAATTGTTAATAAAGATTATCTATGAGAGGTTAAAATATGAATAATTTAGATTATATTTATGCTTACTTCTAGTTGCAAAATTTTTAAAGTTTTTCTTTTTTTTTTTTGAGGCAGAGTCTCACTATGTCACCCTAGGTAGAGTGCCATGGCATCACAGCTCACAGCAACCTCAAACTCCTGGGCCCAAGCAATTCTCCTGTCTCAGCCTCCCGAGCAGCCGGGACCACAGGTGCCCGCCACAATGCCTGGCCATTTTTTGGTTGCAGCCGTCACTGTTGTCTGGTAGGCCTGGGCTGGACCTGAACCCACCACCTTGGGTGTACATGGCTGGTGCCCTAGCCACTTGAGCCACAGGTGCCGAGCCAAGACAGAGTATTATTTTATCATCATTGGTAAAGTGCTGTGGCGTCACAGCTCACAGCAACCTCCAACTCCTGGGCTTAGGTGATTCTCTTGCCTCAGCCTCCCGAGTAGCTGGGACTACAGGCACCAGCCAGAACACCTAGCTATTTTTTTTTTGTTGCTGTTTGGCCGGGGCTGGGTTCCAACCCGCCAGCCTCAGTACATGGGGCTGGCGCCCTACCCACTGAGCCACAGGTGCTGCCTGAGCCAAAGTTATTTTTAAAATTAAATTTCTAACACATCAAAAGCAAAATATAGTAGACAAATTATCTCGAAAATGCATTAATGATAAAAAGTAATCAAGGATTTATGATAAAAATAATTTTAAGAAAAGAAGAAAATCTGCCCTACTCTGAAACTTTACTAGGAATAAAAGGATGCTAAAAATGTTTGTAACCTATATCACATACTACGTTAATAGAACAAATTTCTACCAACATACCACAGTGTAACAAAAGCAGATCCATCTTGCTAACTCAGAAAATGTACATACAGGATCGGCGCCTGTGGCTCAACTAGCTAAGGCGCCAGCCACGTACACCTGAGCTGGTGGGCTTGAATCCAGCCTGGACCCGCCAAACAACAATGATGGCTGCAACCCCCCCACAAAAAAAAAAAAAATAGCTGGGTGTTGTGGCGGGCGCCTGTGGTCCCAGCTACTTAGGAGGCTGAGTCAGGTGACTCGCTTGAGCCCAGGAGTTGGAGGTTGCTGTGAACTGTGATGCCACAGCATTCTACCCAGGGTGACAGCTTGAGGCTCTGTCTCAAAAAAAAAAGAAAAGAAAATGTACATACATTTCAAACTCAACATTTTCTAAAGTAAATCATGTTTTCACTTATAATAGTGTGTTCCTCCTACTTCTATATTCTCTATTTTAGGTAGTAACCCACCAACTACTCAATGGCCCAAATCAGGAAGCTGAAACTAATCATATTTCCTTTCCATTTCATATCAATATCTTCTAAGTCCTTTTGGTCATACCTCCTTAATATCTCCCAAATCCATTTTTCCCTTTTGTTTTTGAGACAGAGTCTCACTATGTCACCCGTGGTAGAGTGCCATGGCATCACAGCTGATAGCAACCTCAAACTCTTGGGCTTAAGTGATTCTCTTGCGTCAGCTTCCCAAGTAACTGGGACTACAGGCACCTGCCACAATGCCCAGCTATTTTGGGGGGTATACTTGTCATTGTTGTTTGGCAAGCCCGAGCTGGATTTGAACCCATCAGCTCCAGTGTATGTGGCTGGCATCCTAGCCATTGAGCTACAGGCACAGAGCCCCAAATCCATTTTTCCAATTTGCAACGCCTTTATTACTTTTTACCAAGACTATTACTAGGGCTTCCTAAATGTTCTATCTGTAGTCTCTCTCTTCTGTGTTTGATTTTCTTCAAAGCCACCTAAGTTATTTTCCCAACTACATATCTAGATTATGTCACTTTCATATTTAAAAATTTTTAATGGCTCCCAATAATATACATGTTCTTGACCAACAGCCTCTCCAATCTTACCTCAGAAGTCCTTCTTCTCCTAATCTATATTATCTATAAAATTCTACTTAGATTTCTGTCTCTCTCAATTTTTACACATTATGTTCTTTCTCCTTTGTATATCTTACCTCCTTTCATAGGGTAACTCATATTTTTCTTTTAGAAATGAAGTCAGTAATTATCTCTTTTAGAATGCTATCCTTAACCCCTTCAAGCTAAGTTTAGTACTCCACCTAATAATGTAATACAACATAATATAATGGCTGTTGTTTCTATTAAGATGATAATTTCCCCAAGAGGAGAAACTTCCAGACTTTTTTCTCTTTCTATAGCTCATCTAGTATAAAGTTTCTTTAATGAATGTTTATATGTCTAAAAACTATATAAGTATTTATCATACATAATAATGGCTTTTCTAAACTAGCACAATTATTTCTTTGAGTCTAATTTTATTAAAATTGATTTAAATCTTAAATTAGTGATGAGTTACTAAAAAACCAGATCTCACTACAACATATTACTATATCTATATAATAATAGTATACTTGTACCCCCTGAATATATGCAATACAAAAAGAAAAAATATCTTTATTAACTATAATTTTTATTTTTTGCTACTTACTTCTTCCATATCTCTCCACATTTCTTCACATTCTTTAACAAGTTCTTGTTCAGAATCCGTAATATCTCGCACATCTGTACTACTATCTGGATCCAGGTCTTGCTGATTCACTGACATGTTGCTTTGTGATTTTCTAAGCCTTATGATAAAAAACTAAAGTACAAACTATTTATTATATTTCTTCATTCAACAATATTTGTTGAACACTTCTTATCTACCAGATGTTCATCTAGATACTAAGAATATAGCAGTGAACATAATAGAAAAAAATCCCTTCTACCATAATGCTTACTCTAGTTAAGGAAAACAGACAATAAACCAAAAACTAATACATACAGCTATACTTACATATTTACACATGTGTATATACATACATAAACTATAGTATGTGTGTATATATGTAAGTATATATGTATATGTAAGTATATACATATATGCACATACACTATAGCATATCAAAAGATTTGTAAGTGCCATGGAGAAAAGCAAGGCAGACAATAAACATAGGGAATGTTAAGGCAGGGACAATGTAATTTTAAATAAAGTGGTCATATAAGATTACTGAGAAGTTTACAAATAAGTAAAAAGACATAAAGGAGATAAAGAAGTGATCTATGGGGATATAGAAAGGAAGATGCTCCAGGCAAAGGGAACTGCAAGTATAAAGGCCTTCAAGCAGGAATATGACTGTCATGTCACTATGAAGCAGTCAGTATGACTAGAACAGATTAAGGAGGGCAGAAAGTAGAAGATGGAAGTCAGAGAGACATTAGAGGTTAAGATTATATTGGCTGTGTAGGTCATTTTAAGGACATAGACTGAGATAATAAGCAATTAGAGAATTTTAAGCAGAGGAATGACATCATTTAAATTACATCTTAAAAGTACAACTCTGGTTAACTACAACCAGTAAGAAAAGCAGCAGGAAAACTAATCAAGAGCTACTGCAATAATCCAAAACAAAATTTTTAAGATATAAACTCTGGACCCAGATTGTCTAGGTTTAAACCTCAGCTTGGATACTTACAAGCTGTAGGACTTGAGCAAGTCACATAAACTTTCTGTGCCTCAGTCTCCTTATCTGTAAAATGAAAATAATATACTCCACAGGGTTATGACAATTAAGTGAGTTAATATTTATAAAGCTCTTAGAATTGTACCTAACATAGAAAGAGCTTAATCAGTGTTAGCTACTAACAATCTGAATGTCAACTAGTAAAAACTAGACCTCTTACTTGCTATAACCCTAAGATATAGTTTAAGTTCACAAAAGCAAAACCAGTCATTAACAATTTCGGAATATTTTTAAGAAAAAGTCAAATATTATAAATATTTCTTTTAAATGTAACTTAACTCAGAAATTTTTTTTTTGAGACAAAGTCTCACTATATCACCCTCATTAGAGTGCTGTCATGTCACAGCTCACAGCAACCTCAAACTCTTTGGGCTTTAGCAATTCTCTTGCCTCAGCCTCCCTAGTAGCAGGGACTTACAGGCATCTGCCACAACCACAATGCCTGCCTATTTCTTTCTTTTTTTTTTTTGGAGTTCTCATTGCTGTTTACCAGGCCCAGGCCAGGCTCCAACCCACCAGCCTCAGTGTATGTGGCTAGTGCCCTACACACTGAGCTACTAGCACAGAGCCCTTAACTCAGAAATTAAATGCAAATTGATCTTTTCACACTTCATAAAATATTGACCACTAAAATACTTATCAATATGAAACAGTAATGCAAAACTGTGTGTGTGTGGCAAGGGAGATATCCAACAAATTAGCTGACTTGGCAATTCAATGTTGAATTAAAATACAAATAAATACAAACATCTGATCTTCCCACCAAGTGAGGATACAGTAAGTGAGCTATCCCCAACCTGAAGTGGATCCTCACCAGAACAAAGAAAAATAGTGGCACTCTGATCTTGTATCTCCACCTCCTGAGTTATGTTATTTATTCATTTATTTTAGAGACAGAGTCTCACTTTATCGCCCTCCGCAGAGTGCAGTGGCAGCTTCACACAGCTCACAGCAACCTCCAACTCCTGAGCTTAGGTGATTCTCTTGCCTCCGCCTCCCGAGTAGCTGGGACTACAGGTGCTCGCCTCAACGTCCGGCTATTTTTTTTTGTTGCAGTTTGGCCCGGGCCAGGTTTGAACCCGCCACCCTCGGTACATGGGGCCAGCGTCCTACTCACTGAGCCACAGGTGCCGCCCGGTTCTGTTATTTATTTTAAAGCCTACACACTTAAGTGTTTAGCTTTATCTCTTTCTCACGTTGTGTATCCCTAAACCTGTCTTTCTGGAAAGAGAACAAAGAACTTTTTGAGGTCCCAAGTTAGGACTAGAATATCCAATCATTTAATAAAGAATAATATCACTTTATTTAGGAATAATCCTATGCCACACCAATTTAACAAAAGTCAAATTAGCAATCTTAAAAAGCTTAATATACTTGAAGTAAATAGAAAGTATCTTTATAAATTTAATATGTATTAATTTATTCAATAAACTCGGTCTTAACGTGCGTCACTTAAGACACTTGCTATGCCTGTGTAAGTGAAAAAGTCTGTCATTACAGAGTTACATTCTCCCTAAGGAGGGACAATATAAACAAATGAGCAACTAAATACACAACCTGATTTCAGAAGTGCTATTAAGTGGTAAATTACACGACACAGCCTGCGTGTTCTTTAAGAATTAAGAGAAACCTACCAGGAAGAGGAAAGGGATTAGGTGACAATAATGTTGAATAAATGTTAACTAGCTCCCTACTACCAGTATTTTCATCCTCATCCTCATTATTATTGTCATAGTCTCTGAAAGATAAAAAGGTGTAAAGGTGAAGGTTAGATTGCTGGGGAGATACTTTCAAGCATAAAAATGTAAGGCTTTGAAAGGACTGGTTTAGGGAGGTCATTTTGACATATTGCACTTAATTGGTTAAAAAAGGAGATGTGTTTTTGTTTAACCATACCAAGGAAACAAAACAACACAAAACAAAGAAGGAGAAGGGTGAGAAAGAGCCCGACAACTGCTACCAGATGAAATCCCAGGCCAAAGGGGCCCGTTAATTTACTCCAGGTGGCTGGTTCTCCACCCACTATCCCCCTTCTCCCACCCCGAAACAGAAACAAGCATTCAAACACCTTCTTCAGAAAATGTGTGAGAGGATAAAGAAGGCTGGGAAAGAAGACAGGCTTGAAGCACTTGAAGGGGTTCCTCCCATCGTCACCCCTCCATCTTTCTCCGGTAATCGGCTGGGTTCCGGAGCTGACGTCGGCGTGGGTCCTCAAGGCCCCACTTGGACGTCAGGATCCAGTTCCCAGGAGGTAAAGGCTCCACTTTCGGGGCTACATCTCCGTCTCCTTGAGCTGCCAAACGAAGCGGCAAATTTCAACCGTTAAGGCCGTCTCCCCTGCCAACATCTTACCACCACACAGCCGCAGACTTCAGTTCTCCTCAGCGCTTCTTCATCGGCTCCCTTGGCCCCGAATCAGTGCCCGCGCTGTTTGCCGATTGGATCGGCTCCTCCCCCCGCCAGCCAATCCCGAAGCTCGCTTCGACTCTGACTACACGTCTGCGCCGCTGCTTTGGGATTAGTAGACAAGCTGTATGTCGCGCTTTTTCTGACGTTTAGGACAGCATGGCGGCGGAAGGTGGTGGTGATTCGCAGCTGAAAAGAAGAAGGCGCCGGGACCCGGAGGAACCGGCAAAAACGGAGCTCTCCGAGAGAAATCTGACAGTGGCAGTGACCGAGTCCCAAGAAAACGATGAGAATGAAGAGCGCTGGGTTGGGCCTTTACCTGTGGAGGCAACACTGGCAAAGAAGCGGAAAGGTAGCTGCAGAGATAAGCCCGGGGCTAATTGGAGTGCTGCGTCCCCTGAGTGGGAGGGTTGAGTTCTAGCACCCGAAAAGGGATGGTGTGTCATTGTGGGGTTTTGTTCTCTCAAAACAAATGGTCTTCTCCTCACTTCTGGCTACTATGTACTCGCATGTCTTCTGGAATACTGATTTGGGCTTAGTATTTTTGACCACTGATTTGTCACGATAGATGCTAAAGCTTACATTTGCCTGTACGTGTCAAAGGTAACTGGCGTCTCATTTAATCCCTACAGCAGCTGGATGAGGTTGGAATTTCGAACTCCCTTCTCGAGGTGTGGGAAAGTGTACTGGAGTGTTCAGGAGTGGTGTTAATGTGTGGGGGCGTTAGAAGAAGGTGGTGCCTATTTTAGATTCATAGTAGGTAAAGATAATTTCAACCATAACTCCTTGACTAATGAATTTGCAGATCTAGGGAAACTAACTTAAGCTTCCTGAATCACAATTTTTTTCATCCAAAACCCAAGGTCTGTGATTTTCAAAGCATATTCTTGAGATAACATGGACTGAAGCATTTTCCACTAACGTGGAATAATGGGAAATTATTATCAAATACAAAGGGCGGGGACAGTAGTAGATTAATTTTTTTTGTTTTTCTGTGAAATATTTTCCTTAAACATTTAAGACGATTAAGACGTGGTCTTTGAAAGAGAGGCACTCGACCGGCAGAGATCTCACAAACTACCAAGGCTTGTAGGAAAGGTTTTTATTGGTGGGGGAGGGAGGCTGCAGAGCAGCACCAAGGAGGAGAGAAAAAGAGAAGAGAAAAGTGGAGAGAAAAGAGGGGAGACAGTGGGGCAGAGAAGAGGGAGAGCAGAAAGGAAGGGGGGAAGGGGAGAAAGAGAGGGAGGAGAAATGTACCTTTATATAAGGAAGGCTCAGAATAGTGACAGGATGGTGGGATAACCAATTAGGAGTTACTGCTCCAGCGAAAAGAATCATCTGGGGTGGGCAGCGTGTAATTGGAATAGGATAAGAGGGCCACTCCCTGTGCTTGGGGAGAAGTTGTAACTTTAAGGGCAGGAAGGGGCTTTTTGGGGGGAAGGGCCTTTCTGAGGCAATTATCTAACATTTATAAATTCAAATCTTACTTTATAACTATCTCCTACATAAAACGTTTCATTGATTTCTCATTATTTTATTATTATTATTATTTTTTTTTTTTGAGACAGAGCCTTTGTCTCCCTGGGTAGAGGGCTGTGGCATCACAGCTCACAGCAACCTCAAACTCCTGGGGTTAAGTGGTTCTCTTGCCTCAGCCTCCCAAGTAGCTGGGAGTAAGGCGCCCACCACAACACGCGGCTGTTTTGTTGTTGTTGTTTAGCTGGCCCAGGCCAGGTTCAAACCTGCCACCCTTGGTGTATGTGGCTGGCACCGTAACCACTGTGCTACGGGCACCAAGCGGATTTCTCATTTTCATAACACAGCCCCTACACCCTAACATGGCCTATAAAGCCCTTTGTGATACTGTTTCTTTACCTCCCCAGATCATCTTCCATTAACCCCTCTAGCAACCTCTTATTTGTGCTCCAGTCCTTCTAAATCACTTGAGAAAGGGTCATGTACTCTTCCTTCTCTGGATGGCTGCCCAAATATCATGGTGTCTCTATTGGGAATAATTTCCCTCACCTTTTTCACTGGCCTAACTGCTGTTTGACCACACACCTCAGGGAAGTGTGACTTATCCAGTCTGGACTGGATTTTTAAAGCACATTGATCATAATCTCTGAAGTACTGTTTATCACAGTAAATTTACAGGTAGCCTTCAAATTTTATGTATCCAAAATTTTAATAAGCTATTCTTTTGGACATTGCATATTGACACCGTTAAAGTGCATTATCATTTTTATTGCCTGTTTTTTTGTTTGTTTGTTTGTTTTGGCATCTCTGGGGGAGCACGAACCATATTGCCTAGTTCTGTTAAATGTTTCCATAGCAACCTTTTTCTTCATGGCACTTACTACAATTACAATTGTATATATATTCATATGATTATCTGATTAATGTTTCTCTCCATTGCTAAGACTGTAAGCATGTAAAAACCAAAATAATTCCAGTTTTGCCCTAGTGCTTGGTACAGTGCTTTGCACATAGCAAGTGCTCCCTAATATTTAATAAAGGAATTTTACAATATTTATGCTGTTATTTAACTTTTGTTGCATATGAATATATTCTGTTCTTTTTTTTATGAAGTGAGCAGGAGAAA